TACCTAAAATGAGGGGGCGATAAAGGCACAAAGTGACTGACTTGCAAGGTTTCAAGAGGGAGTTTAAGAGTGTGAGGGGGAAGAAAAAGTCTCACTGAATTGTTTTCATCTTATCTGGATGGATCTGGTTAAAAGAGATGCAGATAAGATTCTTATGAATCAGTAGTGAGTAGTTGTTTTCATGACTAATTGCAACTGTCACAATTGTAAAGGTATGTTTTGTAACAAAAATGAGTGAGCAGTTAATCTTACAGTCCAGAAACGAAGGACCCTAGGACCATCAAAGGAGAAAAGTCCAAGCGGAATGTGGGACCTTATCCAGAGAAGCAGCGACACCAGAGATGGAGGCAGACAGAGATGGGGACATGGAGAGGGGGAGCAGCTGAGGACTCCAGATTCATGAGAAGAGAGGGACTAAGATAGTGGCCAGGAGGCAGACTTGCAGAATGTGCCCTTTGGTGGTGTAAATTATTATATATGTCTCAGTGTTTTTAAAAAGAAAAAAGAAAAAGAGCTAAAGTGAACAGAGAAATACTGTTAACTCATGGTACATGGAGGGGATTGTAATCATTATAATGAAACAAGTTACACGATTTGTTGAATGTAAAATTAACTGATGATGTGCCCTGTAAACTTACACTCAATCCACAATAAAAACTTAAATACTTAAAAAAAAGAAGGGGGTTGGGGAGAGAAGCTGAAGAAACGGAAATGTGTCCACGAAATCTAGATTTGGGGATATATACATTTTAGATAACATAAGGGAAAGATGAAAAGTTGCTAACTACAAAGCATTATACAAATGAAGAATGTATAAAGATGTATAAATACAGAGTGATTAACATGCAGTAGAGTTATAGTGTCTTGAAGGAGTTTATTGATTTTAAGTGCCATCATGTCATTGTGACTCAGCAAACCTGTATAAGGTTTCCAAGGAGGAACTGGTGAATTTGAACTATTGACCTTGCGGTTCAAGCCAATCTTGCGGTCCAGTGTGTTACCCCACAGCACCACATCAGGACTCCTGAAGGAGTTTAACTTCTCTTAAATTGTCTGACTTTCCTTATTTTGGCTTCTTTCACAGCTTGGGTATGTTGGGTCTCAGAATTTTGTGATTATTTTCCCTGTTGTTTTGTTTTACCCTTGACTCAAGAGAATGGTCTGGATCCTAGAAGGGCTCTTCTTATAAACTTTACAGTAGTTTGTCCAAAGAAACCCGGATTTCAGCCCTCCTCAGTAGAGTGATTAAAGGATAGGAAAAGATACATGAAGATGTTATCAGAAGAATATAGAAAGTATTTAAGTGTACATTAAAAAATTACAGGTGTATGGAAAAAATAGACAACTCAGTGTCAGAGTACTAACAAAAACAATAGAATTCTAATAAAATACTAGCACAATTTAAAAAATACATTGGAAATTCTTAGCATAAATATTAGTAAGCATAGGACGTTTTCTTTAAAAGTTTTCTTTTTTTTTTAATGTCCCACTTTTTATGTTTCCAGGTTGTTCCATGCTGTGGATGTAAATGGAGACATTTGGGAAGATGAGATTGAAGATTAGCTAACTCCTACTGCTCAAGATAAGGAAGTGCAGTGGTTTCCTTAATCTTTTTGTTAACTACACAGTTAACTTGAAGGATATATGGGGTACTATTCATTCACGCATCCTATGTAGAAGATATGGAAGAACAAGGTTGATATTTTCATTTTGATGTTGCTGAGTAAGGCAGATTCATATATATCTCAGTGTAACATAAATTGAGAAATTTATAAGCCAAAGGTTTAGAAAATGAAAACTAGAGAATATTAAAGATAATTATATTAAATAATCGCAACTCAGTATAGTTAAAAGTTAAATATTTATTTTCTTCCCCAAACTTCAGTAAGGTGAGGGGTCACAATTTTAACTTCTCAGATCCTTTTATCTCTGGGCAGTTCCTTATAAGGCCTTCCTGTTAGGGCCTACTTAGTACTACTACTTAGAACTAGGTTGGGTAGAAGCCTATTAAAATTATGCTGAGAGGTTTTGTAACCTCTTATCATCCTAATCTCATTCTTCCATGTTACTTAACATTCCTCCCAACCTAAATTAATTCCAAGTAAATTCTCCTTGGAGAGAGCACTTTATAACTGATTAGGTGGCCCAGCAATGGAATAGAAATATATGTAGATCATTTTAAAAATAGGTTTTAATGCCACAAACACCATGGGTCACTTGATATTTATTAGTGGTGTTTAGTCCACTGGTTTTGAGCCAAATCTAGAATTTCAGCCCTTTCAACTTTCCTGGGCAATTGAGCCAATATTCAAAACAACTTTGCTAACTTTTGGTTGCACATACTGTCCCTTTATCCCTACCCTCTATTAAAGTTGGTCAGGGCAACTTTAATATTCATTCCAGCAGCTCAGTTTTTATTTCCTTTGCTGGAATCAGAGAAATCTCAATATAGTCCCAGGCTGAAGAAGCTGAACTTTCTGATCCATACCACTGTAGTTCAGGATTCTTTTTCTTTTAAGATATTCTCTAATGAGCAGTGGAATTTAGTCTCCTTTTTTTTTGGTGCAACAGTGGTATTTGGGGGATAATTTTGGTTGATACATTGATACCAAAATAACTGAGCTTTTGTTGGCTTTTTCCTTATGGTTTGGTAACAAAATAAAAATTTGCAAAACAGAGAACAGAAGATTTCTGCTGCAATTTGTAGACATGTTCTTTTTTCCTCCTTTGTCATTGAAAACTAGGGGAATATTTTAAACCATTTTGTGAGTGTGCTCTGGTCCAAAGAATCATCTAGGGGCAGTGTTGTTTCTGGATTGTTGGTGAGGGTACTTAATCTTAACAAAGATCCATCACCATCAAGTCAGTTCCAACTCAGCTCCCCTGTAGGACAAGGTAGAACATGGTCCCACAGGGTTTCCAGGGCTGGGGTCTTTATGAAAGTAGATTGCCACATCTTCTCCTGCAGAGCAGCTGGTCTGTGCAAACTGTTAGCATCTGAGCACTTAGCCACTGTGCCACTGGGGCTTCTCAATCTTAACAATAAAGTTAGGAAAGGAAAACTTGTAATTAGAGCAGAGTTCTTGCTATTTATTCTGTTGCCAATGTAATTGATCACATTGTAAAACTCTGTTTGGTGTGCAACAGATACTCTTAAGGTAAGAACAAAGAAGTCTTGAAACTACTTCCTCTTAGTCTGAGTTTTAGGGTCCATTATTTTTTTAAACCAGACATTTTCATAAACTTCTATTTGGTGTATTTTATGTAAGAAACCAAAGTTACTTTAAAGAATAAATTAAAAGTAATAAATAGAAATGGAAAAGATTAAGTGCGCACTATGTACCTGAGTGAGACCTGACAGCTGTGATTCAATAGGAATCCCAATTTCATTTGTTTTTTTTTTGTTTTTTTTTAAGTAGTTGTCATCGAGAAGCTCTGTAGTTCATGGGTTGGTTGATATTTGCTTGAGGTCATTTTATTTTAGGTTGTTGCACGTAATTCAATTTCATGAAAGAAATGTTTTCCCCCTATTTATAATTAAAATATCAGTACAGGTAGTTAGTCTCAAACATTAGTTTGTTTGCCTGATTCTTGCTTCCTTTCTTCCTTAGGTACAAAGTCTTTTTATTGCTCAATTCTAACAAAATAGGTGTGTACAGTCTTATTTCTATGGCTAACTTTAAGATGGCTTCTTCTTTAGGATAGTACTTTAGACGCTGAATAAAATGAAAGGTTAGGGTAACCCCCGAATGCTCTTTGAAATGAATGAGGCTGTACAAGGCTGCTATGTCAAGAAAGTACATAATAAAATTAGAGTTGTGTTGTTGGGAAGTACCGTGAAGTCAGTTCTGACACATAGCAACCCTGCAAAGGGTTTCCGAGGCTGTAAATCTTTATGGGAGCAGAATGCCTCATCCTTCTCCCGCGGAACTGTTGGTAGTTTCGAACTGCTGACCCTGAGGTTGGCAGCCCGACTCGTAACCACTACACTACCAGAGCTCCTTAGAATTAAGAGTGTTGCTCCTAAATTAGTTTCATGAAGGCCATTTTTCCAAGTAGGCTGAGATTTGCCATAAATCAACATGAACCTTAATGGATCTTTTTGCTGGGGTCCAATTGCAGACTGATAATTCATCCTGCCCAAAACATCAGTTTGAAGGAGCCAAGTCTCTTGGTTTTTATATAAAAAGTTTGGGTCTAGAGCTAATGCATAAATAAATAATCTAAATAGCTTTTTAAGTCAAAATAGCGGCTTTGTTACTTTATATGCTTGTGATTAAACTCTTCAGACCTGCCTTTGTCATTGAGATACATCTTGTCACATGACAATACAGAGGTTTCTCACATACCACACACTGTTGATCCTGTTACATCTCATGTTGTTATTAAGTGCTGTGGAGTCGGTTCTGATTCATAGCAACACTGTGTATGGTTTCCAAGGAGCAGCTGTTGGGTTTGAGCCATCACCCTTGTGGTTATCAGTCCACTGCTGATCCTACAGCACCACACCAGGACTCAGGAATCCATCGGTGGTGGTAGTGATGCACCGTGGAGTCGACTCTGATTCCTAGAGTCCCTAGAGTCCCTCTGTAAAATTTTACGAGAGCAGAAAGCCTCACCTTTCTCTCTCGGAGTGACTGGTGGACTTGAACTACGGACCTTGTGGTTACCAGGCCCACATGGAACCTAGTGCACTACCAGGGCTCCTTCAGAGCCCATTAGCTAGATTCTGTTCCAGGATCCCATCCAAGCTGCTGCATTTCATTATTTGTCATGTCTCCCCAGGCTGCTCTTGGCTATGACAGTTGGCCAGCCCTTTTCTCTTGTTAGTGTTATGTAAACATCCATTATATCTTTATGCACCTGAAGTGGTCAGGACCTGAAAATTTTTTTGCAAAGGCTAATTACCTAGTGAAGTGAAGTCAGTTACTTCTCAGGACATTTCACTGACTGTGTGTGCATGTAGTCTTAGGTAGTGAACCTGTTTGGGGCATTTTCCTGCTTGGCTTAATGAGGAAATCTTTAAACATGGCACAACCTTATCAGACCATTCTGTGAGTCATTTGGACCAATGAGGCACTGGCACAAGAGGCTTAGCCATCCATCTCAGCTAAATACCAAGTCGAGTGAGAGTGAGCAGGCAAGCACCTAGTGGATGTGATGTTCCTTTCTGAGGAGATGAAGGAAATGTGGGCTCTAAGAAAAAGATTCAACAGCCATATTTCTAGACCTGTTGCATTGTCACAAGGCTAGTTGTCATAGTAAGGGTTCTAGTTTACATTTGAAATCCTTTAGTATACATACTGTTTTTTCTGTTAGGGAAAGTGAGAGTTAATTAGATATAATAATCATAAAATTAGCCATAGGGTTATGTACTTCAGAATTTTACATTTTTGAATGGAAATTTTCATTCCTGAAGTTAACGTTGTTAGCTGCATCACCAGCAGGTGGCAACAGTTCAGTGTTGTAAACATGAATAACTAGTAAGGCTGGGTTGGAGTCCTGGAGTCCTGGTGTGACTGCAAAGCAGTTTCAACTGTCTCCTTGGAAACCCTATACAGGGTCGCTGTGGGTCGGAACTGACTCGACAGCGCTTAACAACAACAGTAAGGCTGGATTACCATTTGGTTCTATTATAAAAGGCAAATTTAATTTCTGGGATTTTAATTTTCCTGATTTTCAGTTTGTTGAAAAGTTTTAATTGATATTACATCAATTCCTGGTACTTTGGTTTTTGCTAATGCCTTCAGGGCAACTTAAACTTATTCCTTCAATACCATTAAATCTTGATCATATTCTAACTACTGAAATGGTTGAATATCAACCAATAATTTTTGTACAGTAACTTCTCATTAGTTACATCTTCTCTTGATACTTCCTGCACGATTCGATATTTCACCCACAGAATCTGTCAACATTGCAACCTGACGCTTGAATTTTTCTTCAGTTTTTCAGCTTGACAACGGCTGTGTTTGTTTTTCCCTTTTGGTTTTTTAACTCCAGATCTTAGTACATTTTGTTATAATTCTTGTCTTTGTCTTCTTGAATTTCCCTTTGAAATTGTCTGCTCACCATTTTACAAACTCA